AACATAGAATGTGACTGCAGATAAGAACCATCTGATCATTACTGGCTGAATTAGTTGCTCTGATCTTATTAATATAAACAACAGTTTGACAATGCATTTTTTAAAAAGGTAAAACTGGGAAGAAAACTTTGGAGATGGAGAGTTTATCCCTTGGATGGAGTTGGTAGCAAAAAACTGAAATCACCGTAAAAAAGACAGGATTTTTACCTTTTAATCAAATCTCACATAAACACTACAAAATGTCTAATTATTCAGTAATTTTGCCATAATATAGCCCATCTAGTTTAATGCTCTCCTTTATATTTTTTTAAAAGCTTTATTTATAACAGCAAGATACATTGAGATTTATCTAGTTACAAGCATTTAGAGAATATGCATGTACAAATACAATGTTACACTTTAAAAATTAGAACATGTATAGAACATATACTATACATTAAAAAAACAAAACATACAATTATCATCTTACCTAAAGTAGATGGAGTCCTGTGCCCGTTTCAGAAATGCTGCTTCCCTTTTTCTTACTTCTGAGAAAAACAAGCTTTAGGACTCATGTGCCCTGCTGATGGGATCCCAAGCTGCTGTGTGTCTGCTATTCTGTAACTGACCTCACACATCTAGCTTTTGTTTTTCAAATGCAAATTACACTCATTTTAAGCATCTCAGAGTGTCGCCAATGAGTCAATAAGCAGAATAGCTCAGTTAGTGTCTTACACAGTAACACAAACTGGTATACTTCAAAAGATTGTATTGCAGATAAAGTGCATGTAGAAATAAAGAGAAAAAACAATGAAAATTTAAATAGGATCATTTATACAGCGTAGGGTATTTCTACAATTTGAAGAAGAAAAATCTGAAGCTAAAATTCCTGAACAATATATACCTAGAATTTCTAACATTCATTTAAAAGTAATTAATTACAGGTATACAAAATATTTAGAATCTTCTGACAAGAACCTCTTTAGCATGTGCTGTTGCTCTCTTCCAATATATGACTGTTTTGTGGACAATTAGTTCTCACCTATGGTCAGATGGTCAGTGGAAAGGAGGATTTGGTACTTTTAATTATAATGTAAATGGACACCCACACAGCGCTGTTTTATACCGTATTGAAATAAAATGAACAGTAAAATTAAATTAATGTACACTGTGGATACAATATAGACTCACATATTTTCTACTTCAGAACATCCTAGACTTCAGCTATGAAATAAGTGTCAGGTGTTTTCTGGACGGTTTCTGATACTGAATCCTTACCTATAGTCTCTGAATAGAATGATCCATCCCATCCATGGATGATTGATAGGAACTGTGACTGCCTACTCAGTTGCAGTAAGATGGGGGTACATAGGTAGGCCATAATACAATATTCACCTTCTGTCTTTCCCGAAATATTCTTCTAAAGAGCAAGTCCCCCTGTATGAAAAATTCAGTAGGTTTGCCATATATTCTCTCTTGAACAAAACAGCACAGCAAACTTACTACCATCCTATCACTTCTGCTACCGACTAATATATGTTGTGTTGGTGGAGTGCTTAGTAAAATCTGGTAAAATAGTTTGTTATGCAAGAAAGAGAGATTCACATATAGTGAATAAATACACTACATACAGTGTTTGTGAATCTCTGTTTAATGCATATTCTACTACTACTACCTCACAAGAAAGTGAACTCCCAAGAAAGGGAGGGGGTCACACTGCAAAAGAACTTTATGACTACAATATTCAGCCATTTTCCTGGCTCTTCCTTTGTGAGTTGGCATTTTATTGATTTAACAAGTTTCTCCTGATTTTAAAGTTGTCTGCACTATTATTTTTTGCATTTTGTCTTTGAGGCTCTATGCCAACCTAGAAGAGTGATCTGAACAACACTGTGGGTATAAAAAGTGTGTAACACAGTTTGAAATACTGCAGTGTGTGTGGGGGTGCAGGTTGTGTGAGGGGTACAGTGTGTGTGTTTAGGGGGTAGTGTTTGTATATGGGGGGTGGTGTGTGTGTATGGAGGGTAGTGTGTGGGTATGCGGGGGCAGTGTGTGTATGGGGAAGTGTGTTTGTGAGGGGTACAGTGTGTGGGGGACGCAGGTTGTGTGAGTGGTACAGTGTGTGTGTATGGGGGCAGTGTGTGTTTATGGCGGGGGCAATGTGTGTATAGGGGGAGGCAGTGTGTGTATGGGGGGGCAATTGTATGTATATTTGGGGGCAGTGTATGTGTGTGGGGTCTGTGCGGGTAGGAGGGCAAATTAATAAATATATACTTTTTTTATTATTAAAAATGAATATGATGTCCCCCCCCCTTCCTACCTTCGCCTGGGAGGGGGGACATTTCCTGCAATCCCTGGTGGTCCTGGTGGGAAAGCCCTGGTGGTCCTGGTGGTCCTGTCAGGAGCTGCTAGAGTTCACTCTCCAGAGATTTGGAGTGTTGCCGTGGTAACCGTGGCAAAGCTCCGAGCTTGCAAGAAGAGAACCCGGCGGAGCTGCAGGTTAGAGCTCCCCCGGGTCCTCTCTCCCTCCCTTCCTGCCGGCTGTCAGCAAAGTGCTAGCGGGCCGGAGAGGTAGATCTCTGATCCTGCAGAGACGGCGGGGGGAGCACAGTTCCCGGTGCTATCATTATAGCACTGGGAAAATGACTTGAGGCTCCCCTGTGTGCCCGTCGTTGCGCCCCAGGGTGTCGCAGCACACAGTTTGGGAACCAAACATTTTCATTATAGCACAATATTGAATAGTATAACATAGCAGTATCTTTTTGTATAAATGCACATTACATTCACCAGAAAAAACATTTTCAGATTCCAGGTTTCAAAAATTGAGGTGCATATTAGATTTGATGGTGCATTAGATTTGAGTAAATACAGTATTTTACAAGAAGATTTTATTAAGCGATCCACCAAAACAACATACACATTTTTAAATTTTCAAGTTATTGAAGAAATAACATTGAGGTGTTTGAGCAGTGAGCAGCTAATTAAAGGGACACTATAGTCACCAGAACAACTACAGCTTAATGTAGTTGTTGTGGTGAGCATAATCATTGCCTTCAGGAATTTTCATGCAAACACAGCCTTTTCAGAGAAAGGGCAGTGTTTACATTGCCTCTAGGGACACCTCCAAGTGGCCACTCCTCTGATGGCCACTGGAGATGCTTCCTGGCTCAGTGCTGCATAGTAGACAGCTCTGCCATTCAGCGTCTCCACGCTCTGCATGGGGATGCTGAATTTTCCTAATAGAGATGCATTGAATGTTGTTTGGCCCCACCCCTGTGGGAAAGCATTGAATTGGCATAAAAATTGGCAATTCTGATGATGTCATCAAGGAGGCGGATTGGGAAGGGGCCAGCGCTGGAAATAAGGTGAGTTTTAATTCCTTTTAAGGGGGCAAGCCACCAAAATGGTGGGTTTAACACTATAGGCTCAGGAATACATGGTTGTGTTCCTGACCCTATAGTGTTCCTTTAAAACCACTATAAGTACACATAATTGAAATACACTTTGATTTTATTCTAAACACTCATAAAACATACATATATATATATATATATATGATTGGATTAGCCGTATTAGTCCAGTAGACAAGATGCCAAAATACCAGTGTATTGCAGTATGCGATGATACCTTTTTTATTGGACTAACATAATAGTTAAAAGACAAGCTTTCAAGAGTTTTCCTCTCTTCCTCAAGTCTGAAGCAATATTGATCATATTAAGTATTAAAAAGCATTGCATAAGCAAAGAATAAAAATTATTATTATTATTATTATTATTAGCATTTACATAGTGACAACTTATTCCGCAGAGCTTTACAATATTATAAAGGGAAAGTTCAGTGTCTTTGTATGACTCATTTTTTAAGTCTGTAAAGTTTGTTTGTATTCTTAAAAAAAATATGTACATCCAGCTGGGTCTCTTGTTATATGGCTGGATGTACATATTTGCTTCGTTCACAATCAATGTAATGGTTAATAGTGAATAATTACTGTGTGCTTCGTTCTCTGGGATTCTGCACTGAATGCTGATTTTAAGTCAAAACACGGAGGCGAGTATTGCTTAACCCTTTCTTTACTGTCCACCAATAGCAGCAAAGAATACAAACAGTAAGAAAAAATGGTAACCATAGTGATAAGCCACTCCCATACCGAGTCCCAGTATAATAGTCAGCACCTCCCCACATATTTCCTCTTTCTTTGCTGCTCCACACAAAGATAAGTACATTACAAATTTACTCTTACCTATATTTGATTGATATTGTTTATTATTTATTATTAATCTTTTTTTTTGTTCTTATTATTTTATATTATTATTGCTCTTTTATTCTTATAGTAAAAAACTGATTTTTCTCATGTTTTCTTACTTTTATTGTTGTTTTATTTTATACCTTTGTTACCTTTGAGCACAAGGTTCCAGACCTTCCTTGGGGGTTTATTCTTTATACCGTTTTCCTTTGTTGCTCTTATCTTTTTTCATATTATCCTCTTAGCTCTGCCTTTTTGGCTCTTTCCCCCTTCTCCGTGTCTGTTTGGCACCCTTTTGCGCGTGTTTCATCTCCTTTTTTCCAATGTTTGTGTAGGGGGCAGACTCTGTAATTTTTTCCATGCTTGGCCAGCCATCACCTCAGATGTTTTGGTTCTGACCACCGTTCAGGGCTTCCACATCGACTTGGTCGACACTCCGTGTCCCATTCCTCCTCCTCGCCCTATTTCACTCTCCATGAACAACCGCGCCTTGATAGACGTGGAATTGTCGGCCCTTCACACAAAAGGGGTGATAGAACTAGCCCCCATGTCTCCTGCAGGGCTACTCAGCAACATCTTCCTAGTGAAAAAGAAGGATGGGCAGATGTGCCCTGTTATCAATTTCCGTTCCCTCAACACTTTGGTGCGCTACCGCCATTTCAAGATGGAGGGCATCGACCTCCTGCGAGACTTACTCCTTCGCAATGACTGGATGGCGAAATCAAATCTGAAAGACGCATACTCGAGAGTCCGAGTGGCCGAGACGTCCAGGGACTTATTATGCTTCCTCTGGAAAGGCGACACCTGGCGCTTCACATGCCTTCCCTTTGGACTCTTGTCGGCTCCTTGGTGCTTCACAAAATTGATGAGCCCAGCCATGGTTTGTTTGCGCAGTCGAGGAGTTCAGCTTATAGTCTACTTGGACGACATCCTCATCATGGCACAGGATCTTTCGGTCCTCCTGAGGCATCTGCAATGGGCGATGGACCTCCTCTCTCGCCTGGGTTTCCTCCTCAACTGGGAGAAATCCTGCCTGTCCCCTTCACAACGCATGGAGTTCCTCGGGTTCACAGTAGACTCTGAAGCGGAATCACTCTGCCTTCCTCCATCCAAGATTTGGACCATCCACAAGGAATTGAGTCGCGCTCTAGCTCATCCCCAGTTACCGCTACGCCATCTGGGCGGCATGCAGTCGGCAATTCTAGCACGCTTGGTGAAGGACTTTTGGGCTTATTGCTTGGCCAGGGATCTGGTTGTCCAAGTGGAATACCTCCCAGGACTCCACAACATTCATGCGGACTGGAGTTCACGCTATCTGTCGGACAGAAGTGATTGGAGATTGGATGTAGCGGCGTTCTTCGCTATCTCGTCTCTCTGGGGACCTTTTGCCATTGACCTCTTTGCGTCCCGGCTCAATACCTAATTACCACGGTTCTACAGCTGGTGCCCAGATCTGGCCGTGGAGGCAGTAGACTCTTCCTGCAAGACTGGACCGGCTCGCTCCCTTATGCCTTTCCTCCGTTTGCCATGATCCCTCGGGTCCTGCTCCAAGTTCTCCGCCAAATGGCCGACCTGATTCTGCTGACTCCATTCTGAGGGACACAATCATGGTTACCACAGCTCCTGGAATTCACGATGGATGTACCCAGACTGCTGTCATCCTATCCGCATGATTAACTTGTGCAGATCGTCCATTTCCTTCGGCTCATCAGGGCTTTGACGGCTGTCCCGCAGGCCAACATCCTTTGGTGTGCCGATTGCTTCAGGGCTCGCGCCTGTCATGCCCTGCTAGGCCTCAATACTCGGCTACTTGGGACGTCTCCTGTGTTTTGTCGCTCTTTACTTTCTAGCCTCCTAACTCGGACCTCTCCTTACGACAACTGTCGGCCAGGTTGGTCTCACTTTTTTGCCTCATTTCATGCAAACAGGTTTCAGATGTTCGTGCCCTGGACTACGATGCTAGGTCTTTCACTCCAGAAGGGGTGGCTTCAGGGGCGCGTCTGGAAGACCTGATGAGGATGGCAGACTGGTCCAGCGAGTCCACTTTTCGAAAATTTTACTTTAGACCAGACCGTCACACCTTTTCTTCTGTTATTGATCAGCTTTAAACTTGCAATCTGAGCCTGTCTTGACATAAAATTACATGATTTTGCTATTTCATGACAAAAAGTCATGATTTTATGAAAGACACGGAGGCGAGTATTGTCCCAGCCTTATAAGTTTATTTCACTTGATTCTCTCTCCCTGTTGATTTTTCTGTTGATTTTTCTCTCTTACTTGGGATTCCAGGGGGTATATGTGATGTGCTCTGAATTTATTTTACCGTTTATGCTCATGTGACCTGACTATGCTGTATGTTTTGTCTGGTGGGTTTTTCTTGTGAAATGGGCACTGTGTTCTTCAGTTATCAATATGAAGTGTTTTGGCATGCGCACTTTGGTTCAAGTACTGATTTAACCATTCGGCTCCTGTTTTTGTTTTCACAGGTTGATTCTGTACTGCTTGGGGTCCTCACTACTTCCCACAATTCTTCAATTTGTAGGCTGGATTTCTATGGATTGTTCTGTGATGGGCTCCTCACTGTTGGCATTTCTATTCTTTGATGGATTGGTCCCAGTTTGTTTATGGTTCCTGATTGGAGTCCGGCTGGATTTTGGCACAGTTGTTTTGCTGTGGTTGGACTGATTCATCTGTTCCTGCTTATGTTGTTGTTGTTATTGTCTTGCATCTCCAAAGAAATAGGAAATATGTGGGGAGGTGCTGACTACTGGGAATCGGTATGGGAGTGGCCTATCACTATGGTTACCATTTTTTTCTTACTGTTTGTATTCTTTGCTGCTATTGGTGGACAGTAAAGAAAGGGTTAAGCTATACTCGTCTCCATGTCTTTCATAAAATCATGAATTTTCGTCATGAAATAGCAAAATCATGTTATTGTATGACACTGAAAGTGCTAAATCATAAAGCACAAGTTAATGAATAAACCTCTGTCTTTTCCTTGAAAGATGAGCACCCTTCACTGATTTAAAAGCTCCAACTTAAAACACCCATTCATGTACGTAGCTTGTATTAGGATCATCCAAATACAGTAGATAAATTGTCTTAGTGGCCGAAAGCCTGTCTTCCAAAAGGCCCATACTTATATATAGATTATTCGAGTTGCCACTATACATGGTTAGATAGCATTCTGAAAAGCCAGATGTTTAGACATAAATGAAATTGCCCTAAATCCAGATAGAAGCAAATGTTAAAAGACAGATTAATAGAAAAAAAATATGATAAAAATATCATAGATGAAATAATAGTAGGAATAGAGAACCTAAAAAGAGAAGATCTAAATTATAAAGGAAGTATAGAAGGAGAAGTTAAACTCCCAATAGTTCTTGATTTTATTATTAAAAGTAAGCAAATTAAAAAAATATGTTTATTCATTGTTGTACCTGTCACACTGCTGAGGAAGTACCTGCAGTGGGAGGAAACACGTTGGACAGATTGTGGACAGTTTTAACTTGTTTTTATGCTGATTGATCCTTACCTATGTGTAAGTAATAAATGTTCTTTATACTTTTTGCACATCTTTCTATATTTCATTCTGGATGCATTTTATTTTTCGTGTAATTGAGATCTGGAAGATCAGACATTGGAAGCAAAGAACTGCCTGAGCGCCACATTGATTTTTGATACGCCTTGTTTTAACAGCCAAAGTTTGGATTGACCCAATATTTGTATCTAGAAATTAAAAATATATGCAGATTGAAAAACATTTGCGACTTTAGGAACAATATATATGGTGAGCATGTAAGATACCACAGTCAAACCTGCTGGGGGCACTAATAATTTCCACCACTAAGCCATACAACTAAAAAAAACCTAAATATACATGTAAATGTACACACAAATGTATTCAGAGGAGGCAAGTGCCATATCTATATTTTGCTAATCAGAGTAAAAACAGTATTAAGGGAGCAATTCAAAGGGCTCTGGCCAGTGGCATACACATGATCCATGGGGCCCCGGTGCGAAAACTGATCTGTGGGTCCCCCCGGCACTTACACTGTCATCTTATTCTTCCTATACTTTTATCCGGCATTATTATTTGCACACTTGATTTCTATTTAGGGCATATTGCCTTAACATTTATTTCTCCCTTTCCTTCTCATTATTTATTCTACAAGTTACTGCTGTAATGTCAAAAGCTACAAATAAAGCCACTTCAGGTAACTCTGGCAATCGTCTCCTACCAAGCCTGACCTGATCGAGAGCATGACATACATACATACACAGACATCTGAATACATGCACACACTGCTAAATACACACACAGACTGCTGAAAGCATGCACACACTGCTAAATACACGCACACACACAGGCTGCTGAAAAATACACACACAGACTGCTTAATGCATATATACACACACTGTTAAATACACATAGAACACTAAATACATATACACACTGCTAAATACATACACAGACTCCTAAATACATACATACACTGCTAAATACACACACACAGACTGCTGAGTACATGCACACACAGACTGTTGAATGCATACACACACTGCTAAATACACACAGACTGCTGAATGGATACACACTCCTAAATATATACACACACACAGACTGCTAAATACACACATTGCTAAATACATACAAACTGCTGAATACACACACACTGCTGAATACACATAAACACACTGCTAAATACACACAAACTGTTAAATACATGCACACTGCTGAATACATACGCAGAGACTGTTGAATGCATTCACACTATTAAATACACACACATACAGACTGCTGAATACACACACACTGCTGAATACAAACACATGCATACACACTGCTGAATACATGCACACACAGCTAAATACAATGTTAGACTATTGAATGCACACACACACAGACTACAGACTGTTAAATACATAAACACACACACTGCTGAATACATACACACACTGCTAAATTCACACACAAACAAACACACAGCATGCATCACTCCATTTCTCACATACTTGGAATATTTTTAGAAGGCCATTTGAATCAATGTAGTACCTGCTCTCAGGTCTTGGATGTCCTGCTGCCATGCTTTCATTCCATCATATGGGGCAGAGGGTGAAAGCAAATTAAAGTTGCGCCCTTGCACTGTTCTGGTGTGTGTCTTTATTCCAGATCAGCAGTGTAACTGTGGAGGCGGTCCTGGACTAATGCTGATGCTATGGGTGCCTCCTCTTAAAGAGCGCCCCCTAGTCCAAAGCCTAATTGGCCTGGCATGAGCATCGGCCACTTCCAAGATAGGCAGGGGGAGGGGGGAACACTGGGAGGGCAAGAATTGCTGAGTGTAAATAAAAATTAAAAAAAACAAAGGGTCATAACATAAAGTAGGGGTGCCCTTGCCCCCTCTGCCCCTCCCAGCGATGCAACTGTTAAAAAACAATGAAATATTGTAAAAGAGTATAACATTTTTAATAGACAGAGTCAGGGCTGCCATCAGAAATTTTGAGGCCCCTGACACAGTTCAAAGTGTTGGCCCCCTGGGCCCGCCCCCGAGTCTGCCCCCGGGGGCCCATCCTGAGTCCGCCCACAATGAAGCTCTGTGTGGTATGTAAAATGGATACAGATTGCACATTTGTATAATGGATGTAGTTTTGTGTGTTTTAGATAAAGTGTGTGTTTGTGTAGTGAAAGCAGAGTGTTTGTGTTGTGGTTTTAGTGTGTGTATGGTGAATGCTGTGTGTGTTTGTGTTGTGGTTTTAGTGTGTGTATGGTGAATGCTGTGTGTGTTTGTGTTGTGGTTTAAGTGTGTGTATGGTGAATGTAGTGTGTGTTTGTGTTGTGGTTTTAGTGTTTGTATGGTGAATGCAGTGTTTGTTTTTGTTGTGGCTTTAGTGTGTGTATGGTGAATGCAGTGTGTGTTTGTATTGTGGTTTTAGTGTGTGTATGGTGAATGCAGTGTGTGTTTGTATTGTAGTTTTAGTGTGTGTATGGTGAATGCAGTGTGTGTTTGTGTTGTGGTTTTAGTGTGTGTATGGTGAATGCAGTGTGTGTGTTGTGGTTTTAGTGTGTGTATGGTGAATGCAGTGTATGTTGTGGTTTTAGTGTATGTAAATGTGTAAAATAGGGGGCTGCATTTGGGGTTGGGGGGTGGGAGTGGAGCCTTTTTGGTGGCATTTACATTTTATTCCCCCCCTCCCTGCTTCTTACCTGGCCAGCGAGGGGGGAGATCGCATCTTTGGTGGTCCGGTGGTTTAGTGGAGGGAAGCCAGCCGCTGTAGAATGTAGATGGGGACAGCCAGCACATCTTAACTTTCCAGCACCTCCTGCCTTTAACTCTCGTGAGCTGTGCCTGTTTGCCGCGCTGAGCGTTGCCATGGTAACCCATGACAACGCTCTGCCAGCCGCAGAGCTCGCGAGACTTACAGGCACAGGAGCTGCTGGAGAGTTAAGATGTGCTGGCTGGTCCCCGTACAGGTAGCCGGGGCCCGAGGTGAACATATAGATAGCGATAATCGCTATCTATATGTGCACAAATGGAATGTGGGGCCTGGGACTCCCAGAGCAGTCCGTGTCCCCCAGGACCGCCAGGCCTATGACAACCGTCATGGCGGCCCTGGACAGAGTATTATTTTGAGAGTTGCTCAGGTTTAAAGACTTTACTGAACTAAGAATTATGGTAGACTACAATGAAGTAATACAAATCATTTGTCAGACAGGGTTTTATATAAATGTAATAATGTGTATTGTGCAAATTTACAGATAGTAATTTTAATAAAATTTAAATGATTAAATTGAATATTATAAATAAAATTTACTATATACAGAGTAATATTACATACAACTCCCACAATGTAATATACTTACTGCAATGTCCATGCGGTATACAATATTTTATAGTTATATTATTATATTAATTACCTATTATTCAAGGCCTGGTACCTACTTGTGGGTTTTTGTAGGTCAGTGTAGTAGCCAGTGCTGAACTTCGGAAGACTCCAATAGGTGAAAAACGGCAATTCAATTATAAAAACTTTTTTTTATTGAAAATCCATTCAAAAGTTTATGATGAAGAAAATTTCATGAAGAGGAGATATTAAATAGTGCACTCAAATAAATCAAAATATCATCACCCTGAGGAAACTACATACATTTATTGTTTTGTGCTACACAAGCATTTATTAACAAGCTAACCCCTCATTGGTCGAGCAAGCGATATATCAAGTAAAATATAGGGACATTCTTCACCACATAGTGCTTCTATATTGTTTTTATTTTATATTTGTGGTGGACCGCCTGGCACCCCGACTGGGTACCTCCGACAATCACTTCTTCCTAGTAATCCTTGAGTACCATAAGCACAGTGTGGCGAAACCGACCTCGCCACTGGGCATTGGAGAAGACTGATTGCCAGCCTCCTGCCATGTGACTATGGCCCCTGGGATGTATTGCCCTATGATTTGGGCATAATGGATTTGTGTTGTGCTGCTGCTGGCCCTTTAAGAACCATCTATGGACATACTGTGGAGTTACTGGGTGGTCACCATTTCCTGTATCAGAGGCACATGGTGAGAACAATGGATGAAGCACATGGTAAGAACAATGGATGGCAGCCATTTTAACTCACAGACACTGTCTGGACTTTTCAACACGGTGCCATCTCGCCAGTATTTGGTGCACAGAGACATCGTGCAGTGGTTTTGGACTATACAGCAGGGGACACATTATACAGTGATTGTTTTTCATTTAGCCTGTATATGTTCTGCAGAATCTGCATTAAACTGTATCTTCCAAAGATTATTATTGCATGTTTTGGGGTCCCTGTGATGTGTTTTATGAAACTGTATTTCTCTGTCTGTGATAATTAGATTACCCATTGTGTAAGGTAATTGTATCACAGGCAGAGGGGAGGATTTTATGTGGGAGTGTCTTTCTGTAATGTACGTGTGTTATTGGTTGTTCTGTAAAACCCTGTGGGCAGTACTAAGTTTGTGGATTGGGAATAAAAGAGGCTGTATGTGCCAGTCCAGTGAGTTCCTGCTTAACCCTCAAAGTGAAGTGTCGTCTCATTATTGGAGGAGGATTTATTGTATGCTGTTCCAGTTTGACTGCTAGGAGTGTAAACCTATTCGCATGGTTTTTCCTATTCGGCTGTATACAACATTCAAATGCTTGAGAGCATTCATATGCTCCTACGGTCCGGTGGTTTTGGTGTCTGCTGCGGTGCTTGGAGTCCTCAGGAAGTGCTAGGAGCATCCTTTAACAGAGGTACCCAGTCGGGGTGCCAGGTGATCTGTTACACACCGCACCAGACACCATAACCACCGAAAATCCCACAAACCGCGGAAGCTTGGTTGGGGTCTCGCTGTCCTCCACCCACCCTGGACCCAAGACCAGGATCCAGCTACCAGTGGGTAGACCTCTCCTAGTCCAGAGAGCGAAGCAGGCTGCTCTTACAAGAGCAATTGTTGTGATCCAAGCAAGTTTAGTGATTATAGCAATCCCCAGAGTGAATATAGCTCTCCAATCCCCCAAACATGAGCCTAGACTTCATGAAAGGTAAAACGAATCTGTTTAATGGCAGCCACAACTGGCCTTTTATGACAATCCCCATGCAAGGGGCACTCCCCCCTGGACCTGAGAGTAGACTACAGTAAAAACATATACATTGCATTGGCTCTCAGGTCCAGGACACTCCCATACAAAACAAGACAATGTCTCCCCTATGCCTGGGAGATAATTACTTAAGTACACAAACATAACTAAATTATCTCTCAGTATAAGAAACATGCAATACAACAACACCCCAAAAGTACCCCTAAAACACATATCCTCTGATAGCCCCGATCTAGGGGTCCAAAACTCACGCAGATCGGTTCAGGTGTTCGGGGTTTCCATGGAAGTCATAATTTTGACTGACCGTGCACATGGTCCTATGCCCAAAACAGTTCCAGGGAATCAGGGCTAACAGTCGGTCTCTCTGTCTGGAGTACAAAAGTACATAACTCACATGAACAGAGCCTTTTAAAGTGCATTGGGCAAGGTATATTGCAGGGCCCATAGTCCTGAGGCAAGAGGCTGGCCAGCAGGCCCCTCCAAGAACCCGTGACGAGATTCAGTTTGTCACAATATTCACCTAAGGATCTATTAAAAAAGGGACTATATATCCAGAAGCGTGGATAATACTGTCCAGGGTGAATCAAGAGAGCTCTGTATAGCTCCTAAAATTTTCTGTGTTTTTCTTTATTTGTATGCACATATCCACAGTTTGTACATACTTCACTATTGGGCCGGAGAAAAGGACAATTACACATAGAGAGGGGTTGGAGAACGGGACAATGACACACAATGGGGAAAGTAAAAGATACATGAGGGTCTGTGGGAAAGTAAAATGCACAAAGTGGGAAGGCACACAAAAATAGGAAAATGGGGGATACGATACACTAAAGGGGGATGTACAACACAAAAAAGGGGTTGATACACAAGAAGGGGTCAGACATGCAAAAGATGTGATAAGAAACACAAAAAGGCGGTTAAAGGGACACTCTAGTCACCAGAACAACTACAGCTTATTGAATTATTTGTGGTGAGTAGAATCATTACCTTCAGGCTTTTTGCTGTAAGCACTGTCTTCTCAGAGAAAATGCAGTGTTTACATTACAGCCTAGTGATAACGTCACTGGCCACTCCTTAGATGGCTGTTAGAGGTCCTTCCTGGGTCATGGCTGCCTAAAATGCATCCAAACATTTAGGAGCTGTGTTTGAATTGTGCTGGCTCTGCCCCTGATCTGCCTCCTTGTCAGTCTTAGCCAATCCTATGGAGAAACACTGTGATTGGATCAGGCCACCACTTCTGATGATGTCAGCAGACAGATTGCTATTCTGAGGCAAACAGCATGCAGAGCTACAGCTTCAGGCTTGATTACAAGTAAGAGTTTGCTATATGTAGGGAGGCATGAGGGGCCCGGGGGGAGGGGGGGAGAGGGCTAGATGGTGGTTTTAATACTATAGGATCAGGAATACATGTTTGTGTTCCTGACCCTATAGTGCTCCTTTAAGCGACACACAGATGAATATGTATTTTGGGGGGCGGGGGGGACCACTGCAAATGCATCTTTGTCTGAGTAGTCAAAATGTTTGCATAAAGATCCTGGTTATATGAAGAGTAACACTCACGAAGCTCAAAGATGGCAGTGCTGGATCGGAGGTGAGGTAAGTAAATCTTTATATTTTACGTTGAATACATAATTTGTCATCTATGATGTATTCAATGTATATGGGAGAAACTTAAAGTGAGTTACATTTTTCACAACAGGTTCACTTTAACAGGAGAAGGATTTGAGTATTGTTATAGACAACAAACTAGGCAACAATGTACAATGTCAATAATTGAAGGAGCATTAATTTATTGGGATGAAAATCTAATTTTGCATCTTTATAAATCAATGGTAAGACCACCTGATCTAAAGAAAAATATTATGGCACTAAAAAAGTGCAGAATTCAGCTACAAAATTAATAAAAGGAATGGTAGATTTTAGTTACAATGAAAGGTTAATACATTTAAATTTGTTTACTTTAGAAAAATCAGCACCTCAGAGGGGATATGATAGTATTATACAAATAAATTCAGGGTCAATAAAAAGCATTGGCTGGAAATCTATTCATAAACATTAGTATACATAGGACACAAGGTCCCTCATTTAGACTGGAATAAAGAAGATTTAGTCTAAGGCAAAGGAAAGGTTTTTTACAGTAATAATATTAATGATGTGTAATTCTCTGCCTGAAGAGGTGTTTTTAGCAAGGTCTGCACAGATGTTTAAACAACAACTGGATGAATACTCGCAAAAACAGA